CTGCCACCTAGAATGCCATACTCTGCCTCACCCCCCAACCCCCCACCTCCCCAGGAAACTGGTGTTACATTATGTTCCTGGGACAAATAAATTAATTTTTAATTGCCTACATAATTAGGAAGGTTAGTCTAATGGTATTGCCTTCCCTCCAATAAAACAAAAAGGGAAAAGGCATATAGAACAAATGGGGAGGATGTTTTGGGTTACATGATTTGGGAGAGTATCTGTCTGTCCACATTCTTCCCCTTCCCCCTGCCTCTATCCCTCTTTTATGAGGGAACATAATTGGGCCTGGGTGGAAAGTCACCAGAAAGAAGGCCCTGGGTTTATCTAGCACGCCCTTCGGTGGCGGAGTGGAGGGGTCCTCTGGAGTATGTTCTTTCCTTTCAGTCAGTCCTGAGGGAATAAAAGGAAGGTGTATTCCTTCTGGGCCAAATCTAATGGCTCCACAGAGATAAGAACTTGTTCTCGAACACCTAGGTGACCTCCCCTAGGATGCCCTTGCCTCCTGACGCATTTTACTTGCTCCAAAGCTTCCAAAACAGCCAAAACCATTCTGCCTTCTGCCCCTCCTCCTCCCACCATTCTCTCTCTCCTCCTCCCCTCCATCCCCTCCTTTCCCTTCTTCCCTGCTGCCCTCTCTCCTTCCTCCCCAGCTCTTTCTATCCTGCTGGCCCCTTCCTGGCATTTCTCACAGGATCTCCTTGTTATTGCAAGCCAGGCCAGGGGGTGAAGGGTCACGGTGGGGCCTGGCTTGTCACTGGGGCCAACGCTGGGGGGGTGGGGGAGAGGAGGGGGGAGCTGGTGGTTTTTCTTAAAGAACCCCTTCATTCATGCTTGCCTCTGCCTCCCATTAATTTGTAGTGCTCCAGACTAGTAATAGTGTCTTTGTGCTGCTGCTTGGGAAGGAAAAAACAACACAGAGACAGCAGCTTCACTGTGTCCTAAAAGGGATGTTTTTTTCCCTTGCTTTTCAATACCGTTTTGGATTTTCATCGCTATCCCTGTTGGGAAAAACCTCCACTCCCTCCCACTGCCTCCCTCAGTGAAATAACCGAGGAGAAGATAGCTCTCTGGCCCTGCTTGCTCTGAGATCCTGGCAGGTCGTACACACAGCTGACTTAAGAGCTGCCAGCAAAGGGAAGCAGCTGGAATGTGGGGAGGGTGTCTGGGAGCCTAGGCTGGGCTGTGTACAGGCAAGCTGAGGCTCTGTTCATGCTTCTACCTCTGCTCCAGCCCCAGTACCACCTGTTTATCCCTTCACCTGGCATTCTCCAGCCACCCTCCCTGGCAATCCATTCCCCAACCTTTTCAAGACCCTGTTCAAGGCTTGTTACCCTGGCTGGATTCTGACCACTCCCAGATTCTGCACCCTCTGTAACAGCACTCAAGTATTATTTTTTTTTTCTGTATCTGTGAGGTTTATAAAGCTCTTTTCACATACTGTCTCATTTGATCCTTCTAACAATTCTGTGAAATATGTAGTATTATTAATGTCCCGTTTTATAGATGGGGAGACTGAGGCAGGCAGTAAGTGACTTGCCCAGGGCCACACAGCTAGTACGTGAACTTGGATTTTCCTGACTCCAGCCTGTGTACTCTATCCACTGTACCACCTAGCTGTCCTAATGCCAGGTGGGTGTTTTCCTTCTCTCTTCTGAAGTATATAGTGAGTAGGGGGAGAAAGAGAGGCAGAGGGGAAAAGATGATGAGGTAACTGTCTGTACCCTCATCAGTGGCTCTGAATCATGGCCCCAAACAGATTTGATGAAATGGACAGGACTTTGGGATATGATGACATGTCGAGTTACTTACCATCTAGTTAATATACAACAGATCCATATTTAGCAGGACAATGAAACATTCATTGGGCATAGCTGGGTGCTAGGACCTTACATGAGGCCTTGGGAGTAAAGGTGAGATGGAAGGGGGAGGTGGTAGTAAAAAAAGAAGAAAAAATAGAGGACAGAGGAAAGGAAAGAAGAAATGTGTGACTTTAGCCCTTGAAAAATTTAAGAGTCTCCTTGGAGAGATAGGATACCCCCACAGGTAGAAAGCTCAAGAGTGTTATACATAGCAGTAGATGAACCAGGGCAGATGGGGTACAGCTTCAGCCCAGCCCCAACACTGGAAGGTAGGGCCCTCTGGAAAGAGACCTTACCTGGCACAGCAGCACTCAAAGGGAGTGCCACCTAGTTAGGTTTGAAAACACACTGGACTTGCTCAGGGCAGGGCAGAGTTATGTATAGAGTTTTGCCAGAGATAACAAGGCTGGGGATGGAAGAATGGGGTTTCTGTGCTGCTAGTTGTCCTGGTGAGTCCCAGACAGGCTGTGGAAAAGATGCTCATAGAGCCTGCCTTGTAGATGCTTGTAGTCAGTTCATACAAGCAGACTCAGAGCTAGATTCTTGAAATAAGAGGGTCCAACTCTGATTGGCTGTGTGACCTGGGGCAACATCTCTGAGCCAGTGTCTCCTATCAATAAAGAATATTGCCATTTTCCCGTGGCACAGTGGAGGGAGTCCTAGCTGAGAGGATCTCCATAATGATAAGATTTTAGATATTTATTCCTTCTTTTTCATCTTCATCCTCATATCTTTCATCCTTACCTTTCTCCTGACTCCTTCCATTATGAAAGAAAAAAGAAAGAGAGGAAGGAAGGAAGGTAATAAAAGAGGAGAAAGGAGAGAGGGAAGGAGGGAAGAAGGAAGGATGAAAGTAGAGCGGGAAGAAGGTTCCTTGACCTTGTCTCCCTCTTTAAGTTATTATACCACATTTTTTTTCCCACTGCTTTTATTTCCTAAACTCGATCCACTTGATTTCCTAAAATCCGGCTAGTTTCCTCACTGTTTCCTAAAACATCTCTCTCCAAAGTGTCTGTGGTTACCTCTTAATTGCCAAAACCGATGGCCTTTATTTTTTTACTTCCCAGTTCCTACCCTCCTGGGCGTTTCTGGGATAAGGTTTGACTACACCCTCCTTGGTGATAATCTTACTCCTCCCACGTATCTGATTCCTCCTTTTCCCTCTCCACCTCCTGCATGATAAGCGTGGGTGACCCCTAGGATATTTCCTCCACTCTTTTCTTTTGACCAAATCTCTCCCTTGGCTATCTTATCTATTCCCTTGTCTTGTCTGTGCAGCTGATTCTCAGATCTCTATATGCAGCTCCATATTCTCCCCAAGACCCGCTGGACATCTTTGCCCAGATTTCCCTTTGGGACTCCAAATTAAACACGTCCCAAACTAAACTCACTAGCATTTTCCTCCTAAAACCTGCTCCTCCCCACCATCTCAACTTCCTTATTTTTATTGCTGGTGCCATCTTCCTCCTAAATCACGGAGGTTCAAAACCTCAGCGTCCTCACTGATTCTGCCTTCTGGCTCAGCCCACTCCCACATACAGTCGGTTGTCAACCCTCATTCGTTCTACCTCCACAATTTTACTTCTTGAATCCACCCAGTTCTCTCCAGTCACCTGTTTCCCTTTTCCAGCCTCTCCCATCTACTGACGATGGACTTTTTCTCCATGTTACAGTATTCCAATACAGTATTCCTTATTACTCTACCCATCCTATCAATGCTGAACAACTCCCACCCTCACCCCCAACCACACTTATTTATAGTCTTGCCTCCTCCATTTGAATGTAAATTCCTTTAAGGCAGGGACTGGTTTTGCTTTTTCTTTTTTTCTGGTGCTTAACAAGGTGTTTGACACACAGTAAATTTAAAAATGCTTGTTGATTGATTGGTTAATGTATTTATCACATGGGCCAAGTAAAATTTATATTAAATAAAATTATCAATAAATTTTCTTTTATCTACAACAATATAACATCCAAATTTTTATGGCATGCCTAGCAAAATCTATAGCACACTCATGTGCCATGGCACATCCTTTGAGAGTTGAACATGACTTAAAAAGACATCTAATCCAGTACACACCTATGTAGGAATGCCTTTTACCACATGTCTAGCAGTCATTCGTTCTCTTAATTAAGAGCATCCAACTATGGAAAAGGTGTGTGGGGAGGGAAGCAGTCCTTTCCATATTTAAGCATCTTTTTTTCTAACAGTCAAAATTAATTCTTCTCAGGGGCAACTAGGTTGCACAGTGAATAGAGCTCTGGTCTTGGAGTCAGGAGGACCTGAGTTCAAATCCAGCCTCAAACACTTAACACTTACTAGCTGTGTGACCCTGGGCAAGTCATTTAACCCCAATTGCCTCACCAAAAAAAAAAAAATTAATTCTTCTCCCTGTAATGTCACCCATTATTGCTAGGGGCTGTCCTCTGGAGCCAAGTAAAGTGGGTCTGATCCTTCTTTTACAGGGTAGAAATGTCTAATGCTTGAAGACGGCTGTCATGTCCTCTCAAAGTGTTCTTTGGACTAGTGCGGTAAGAAGGAAGCACATAAAGAGAAAAGAACACATGGTTTGGAGTGAGCAGACCCGGGTTTGAGGTCTAGTTCTGCCAGTGATGGCCTTGAGCATGAAGGATTTGGATAAGAAAATCTCTGAGGCTCCCCTGGTTCCTTCAAATGGTCCTGGAACAACATGATTTCAGTTCCATTTTGTTCCCTGAAGGTACTCCAGTTTGTCCGTAGGCTTTCTAAAATGTGACACTCAGAATGAAACATAATATGCTTAGCCCTGACAAACAGCAGGCACCTAATAAACGTTTATTGATTTGATTGGTTGGTCTGACTAGGGCATATTATAATGGGCTGATCACCTTCCTCCTTCTGAACACTATGCTTTTCTTAAAGTAGCCTATAGTTAAGTATTTTGTATATGAGAAAAGAGTGCCAACCCTCCTCCACCCTTGTGACCACCACCAATGTAGACAATAAGCTTCATCTCTGAGCAGGTAAGGGATACCTGTGAGGTCCCATGTGGATTTTTGCCAGCAATATTTGTCTTCATAATCCATTTGAGGTGGCTCTTCCTGAGGATCATGGTCCCTCACCACAAACATTGTGTGTTTTTTTTGGTCTTTTAGGAATCTAGCTGTTGGAATTGGGATCCAGAATTTCCCTGAGGGCCTGGCTGTCAGCCTTCCACTTCGTGGTGCTGGATTCTCAACCTGGAGAGCCTTCTGGTAATGTCCACCCCCAAAGGATAGGGACTATGTCTGCTGTGGAACTGGATCAAATCAGCAATCACTGATTTGGATCAGTATTCAGGGTGTGAATAACCCAAGAGCATCTTCTCATGTGGAAGCATGAACCTTCTTCTTCTTCTCTTCTGTTCTGTACCCTCCAACCCACCCCCATGTTCTGCACCTCCTGCTGCTTGAGACTGGGAAATGGTATGTTTATCACTTTGAACGGGGAAGGTCCCCACTCTAGGGTTTCAAAGGGATGTGTGTTTCCCTTTAAAATGTCTCTCCCCCTCCCCCTCCCCCCAGTAAGCTGGATGAAATGGCAGACTGGAGAGGGGTTGAATGCTGGAACCCCAGCTGGAAGCTTAGGTCCCCCTCACCTGTAAGGCATGTGAGGTATTTAAGGAATGTTTCCCCTACAGCTGGAGGTTTAGTAGGTAGGTGCCCCATGGGTAGCACAGTTGCCCTTTCACTATTGGCTCCCTTTTGCTTCCAGGCTTATCTGTTTCAGGTATTTGTGTGTGTGTGGATGTGGATGTGGATGTGTGTTATTATTCTTTCTCTGTTTATAGACTCCCCTGATTATAAAAACTTGCACTTGCCCACGGGTGTGAGTTCAAGGTTCTCCCAACCATAAATGCATTTGGTACTTTCAAATGGAATCAACCCCAACTCTAACCCCAACCCTACCCTACCCTACCCTACCCTACCCTACCCTACCCCCTGCTCCTCCTCCCCTCCTCCCTTAGCTTGCTGAAACTGGGAAGTATCTCCTCCTCATCTCCAGAGATCAGAACCTCTCCCCTAATCTCTACCTGTGCCACCACTGATGACCAGACAAGGATATAGCAGCTACCAAATTTTCTTTTAAGTAAAAGGGGTGTGTTGGGGAGTGAGGATAGCATGAAATGGCCATGACCAATGAGGAGAATGATTTATTTGAATAGAAAGAAGAAAGCCCATGCTACCAGCTGGTAATGCAGAACTCAGCTGTTGTCCTGAGTTTATCAGTCTTCCAAAGGGAGAAGAAATCTTCCACCAGCTTAATAGAGAGATGAGCTCTGAGTCTTTGTCTTTGACAGATTGATGAAGGGGAACTCAAAGTTCTGGCTGCCCTATAGTCTGATTACACACACTCCTCGGGGTGAGTGGGAAGATTCATTCTCAGCTTCTAGTCAGGTTCCACTGTCTGTACCTAGAACTCACCAGATCACAGAGGAAGGGCCAGGGAAGTGAGCCAGCAGAGGTTGTGTGCCCACTTCCCTGTGCCTGCACTTTCTTCCTCTTGGTCAGATTACCAAGAAGTCTGCTTTTTCCATCTTCCAGCTTCTCTCTCTCCAAAGCCTCTAAAAAACAGTCCCAGAAAGCTACATTCCAAAGCCCATCACCAACTGGTAGATTCTTTAATCTCCATAGCAACACCATCCAGGTGTAGGGCTACACAAGGATGATCAGAGTGAATGCCATATTCTAAGGACTAGAAGGAATATTGAGAAATCACCCGGCTTACCTCCTTGCCTCCACTTGTGCCCAAATGGATTTATATCCTATTTACGGAGTCTACTAGAAAGAAAAAAAAAATTGTAACCTTCTGGTAACCTCACTATCAGGAATTCTTTCTTATGTCTATATCTACAATAACTTAGGCCTACATTATAAGATTTAGATCAAAAGGGACCTTAGAGACCATCTAGTCCAACATCCTCATTTTACAGATAAGGAAACTGAGGACCAAAGATGGGTAGTTACCTGTCCAAGGTCACATAGGTAGTAAGCAACCTTTTCAAGGCCTATACTCAAGGGAAACAGAAAACAGCTAATCTCTCACCTTCTAAATTAGAAGCACATTTTGATTTGAAGACCACTGCAAAGTCATGAAAGTGTTCTGGGCTTCATAAGTCAGAAGACCTAGATGCAGATTCTGCCTCAGAGACTTACCCACTTTGTGAGCCCAGAACTAGTCACTAAACTTGTACATACTTCAGGCAATGCCCAAGGCCTTATTTGTTAATTCACAGGCTGGTGAAAGTTCGTCCCTCAATGGGAGCTTCCCATGCCGATGAAGTCATAAAATGGAAGACTGTTCTTGTCTTTCCAGAGTAAGTCAAGTTCATAAAGATCCCAATAATCAATGATCTCATACCTAAAATTTGCAAAAAGCTTTCACATTTTTCTTGCTGTGCTTTGTAATCTATTGCTCATTGCCTACTCACAACCTCACTGCTTGTGGAGGAGTATTGCTCCTGTTTTATGGATGGGAATAATCTGTAAAAGTGAGATAAATCCTAGAAAAACAAAGTGATTTCTGCCAAAATGAATTTTCCTAAAGTTGACATCTGACTCTCATTCTCTGTCTCTGTCTCTCACAGTCTCACACACACACACACACACACACACACACACACACACCTCTTCAGTAAACTTAGCACTGTATTTCCAGGAGCAAATAGAAAATTATCCAGTGGTTCTCTGAAGCCCTTCTCACTTGGCCATTTCCTATCTTTCCAGTTTTCTCACACTTGTCTCCCCCTCTAGACATCCTACAAGCCAGCTACACCTGTAGAAACTTTCTGTGATTTGAACATGACAGTCAACAAGCTTTTATTAAGCACCCACTATGTGCCAGGTGCTATGCTAAACACTTATCTCCTGACTTTGTACTTTTTCACTGGCTGAACTGGAATTCTAATACCCAGAATACTTTCTTTCTTTACTTCCAACTCCTAGATTCCTTCAAAAGTCAGCTCAAATCTTACCTTCTGAAGCACTTAACCCAGTGCCTGGAGCATAGCAGGTATTTAATAATGCTTTTTTTTTTTGTTTTTAGAATTTATTTTTTAAATTTATTTTAAACTTAAGAACAAAATAAGAAAAGAAAAAAAAAGTCCATATACATTGCAGAACATGAGAGGATTCAATATAGAACAATAAATTTCCATTTCAAGAAAACTGATATAAATAAATAGTACACATTGTTTTCAAAGCTGTCCAGCTTTTCTTTCCTTCCTTTTGTTCTCTGCTATGTACTTTTTACTTTATTTTTCCCCTCCCTCCCCCATAAGAAGGTTACAATTAAGCATAGATATATATAGATAGATAGATACATACATACATATATACACATACATATATACATATACCCATATATAGACACATAAGCATATACATGGATATCCATAAACATACACATATACATATGCAAGGCTGTACTATGCTTAATTCCACTTATCATCTGTTTCTCTGAAGGTGGATAGCATCTTCTTTCATAGGTCCAAGTTTTTGCATGTTTTTCTAAATCAACCAGCTCATCATTTCCTACACCACAGCAATATTCCAACTGAATCACATTGTATCTGAGATATTGTCTATGAGAGCTTTTTCCTCCAATTTTCTGCATTCCTTCTATTGTTGGCTGCATAGGTTTTATTTATACAAGAAAGTTTTAATTTAAAATAATCAAAGTTATCCATTTTACACTTCAATAATACTCTCACTTTATACTGTGGTTTAAGGTTTGACACTACTGAATCTGCTTCCTTTACATCTTTTTTTCCCCTGGTTTCTTTGAAGTTCCTGACCTTTTGTTCTTCTAAATGAATTTTGTTATTTTTTCTAACTCAGTAAGTTTTTTTTTAGTAATTTGATTGGGATGGCATTACTTAAATAGATTACGTAAAATTGTCATTTTAAAAATTATATTGGCTTTACCTACCCATGAACAATAAATATTACTTCATTTATTTAGATCTAACTTTACTTGTATGAAAAAGTTTTTTATGTTTATATTCATATAGTTCCTGTCTGTTTTGGCAGGTATACTCTCAGGTATTCTATACTGTCTAGTTATTTTAAATAGTCTAATAAAACAATATTGAATACTGTGGCAGACTCATAGTGTAGTTTCTCTATTTTTCTCTTTTGATTAAATCTATTTTAGCTTTAACTTTATCTGAAAGTGTGACTACCCCTAATTTTTTCATATGATTTCTACCTTTATTTTACATTTGTGTGTATCTCTCATTTTTATAGCACTTCCTGAAAGCAACATATTGTTGAATTCAGTTTTTTAATCTGCTGTCAGTTTCCATTTTATGGGTAAATTCATCCTCTTCACATTCTAAACTATACTTACTTGTATATTTTCTTCCTTCCTATTTTTCCTCACTATCCTTCTCACCCTATTCCTGTCCCTCCTCACTCTTCTGCTTTACTTCTACCTGGTACCTTGCCCTCCTATTCCATAACCTTCCCACTTCTCCAAGAATCCCTTCCTTAGCCTCTTTCCCCCCAACCTATCCCCTAACCCTTTTACTTCTTTCTGAATTTGGAAGACTTTTATACCCTTCTAGATACACACACACACACACACACACACACACACACACACACACACACGTTGTTCCCTCTCTAACCCATTCCCAATGAGAGTAAGGTTTCAGTACTACGCACCCTGCCCCTTCCAAGTTCTTCTGTATCAATTTTCCCATTTTTGCCTCATTTGTATGAAATAATTGATCCTTTTTACCTCTCCCTACACAGTTTTATTTTTTTTAGCATTGCCCCATCATACTCAGCTCAGCCCAAGCCTTTCTTTCAAACTACCCAAATAGAAATAACAGTCATGAAAGAACTGATAATGTTTTCATATATAAGAAGTAAACAATTTAGCCTTCTTGAGTCCCTTATAATTGCTCTTTAACGTTTACTATATATTTTTCCTGGATGTTATATATCAAATTTTCCCTTAAGTTCTGCTGGTTGTGTCACAAATACCTGAAAATCTTTCAGTTTGTTAACTATCCATTTTTTTTTCATTCAGCATTATACTTAACTTTGCTAGGTAAATTACCCTTGGCCATAACCCCAGCTCTTTTGCTGTATGAAACATAGTATTCTAAGATCTCTGGTCCTTCAATGCTAGATCTTGGGTAATACTTACTGTAGCTCCATGATACTTAAATTGATTTTTTCTTGTTGCTTCCAGTATTTTCTCCTTAACCTGGGAGTTTTGAAACTTGGCTATGATATTCTTATAAGTTTTCTTCCTGGGATCTCTTTCAGGTGGTGATCTGTGGATTTTTTCTATTTCAGCTTTGCCTTTTTGTTCTAGAATTTCAGGTCAATTTTCCTTGATTATCTCTTTTAATATTATATCAAGATTCCTTTTTTTATCATAATTTTAAGGCAGATCGACTATTCTTAAATTATTTCTCCTCGATCCTTTTTTTTTTAAGCAATTGGAGTTAAGTGACTTGCCCAGGGTCACACAGCTAGTAAGTGTCAAGTGTTTGGTCTGATGCCAGATTTGAACTCAGGTCCTCCTGACTTCAGGGCTGGTGCTCTATCCACTGCACCACCTAGCTGCCCCCCCCCCCAGTCTTTTCTTTAAATCAGTTGTTTTTCTGATGAAATGTTTCACATTCTCTTCTATTTTTTCATTCTTTTGCTTTTGTCTTATTATTTGTTTGTGTCTTAGAATGCTGTTAGCTTCCTTTTGCCTAGTTCTGGTTTTCAAGAATTATTTTCTTCCTTAAGTTTTTGGTTCTCTATCTCAGGTTGGATAATTTTCTTTTCACATTTTTTTTTAAATTTTCTTGGATTGCTCTTACTTTTTTTTCCTAATTGTTCCTTGATCTCTCTTATTTGATTTTTTTTGGGGGGGGGGCAGCGAGGCAGTTGAGTTAAGTGACTTGCCCAGAGTCACACAGCTAGTAAATATCAAGTGTCTGAGGCTGGATTTGAACTCAGGTCTTCCTGATTCCAGGGCCAGTGCTTTATCCACTGCGCTACCTAGCTGCCCCACGCTTATGTGATTTTTAAAGTCCTTTTTAAGTTCTTCTAAAACATCTTTTTAAATTTGGGACCATTTCTCACTGAAAAAGGAGTGCTTTTTTAGCTCCATTATCTTCCTCTGAACAAGAACCCAGATCTTCTCTATCCTCATAGTAGCTATCTATAGTTGGGTTTTCTCCTTTACTTACTGATTTTTTTTTTATTTTTTTTCTTGTTTTGTCTTGTTTTTAGCAGCTATTAATGTGATCAAGTTCTAGTTCCAAGGTATGGAGAATGATGCCCCAAGTCTCAGGTCCTTCTTACTGTTATCTTCTGAGGTCTGTCTTGGGGCTCAACCTTGGGCTCTCCTCTCTATTTCTAAGCCACAGCTACAGCCCTCAGTAATGCTGTCCTGCAAATGATCTTGTCCCTCTGGTGACTGTAAACCATAGCTGCCCTCTCTTCCCTAGAAATGAATCCAGAGATTCTGCTCCCCTGCAAGTGCCCACAGCCAGGAAGGTCCCTGCCCCTCAGTACCGCACTCACCAGGTCTATGCTAGCTCCTCCCTGCAGCCACAGCCCAGGATGTATCTGGTCAGCACAGCTGTGCTTGGCGTCCCTTGACAGGGGAAGTTGCTTCAGTCTTCTCCTCAGCGCTGAGATTAGAGTGTCTAAGGCTGAGGCTGCCTCCCAACCCCAGCTGCCCCCAGGACTTGTTGTTTGTTGATTCTGCAGTCAGTCTGGAGGTGTTTGCACTTCACTCAGGCCAAATCTTCACCCCTGGAGGTCGGGTCTTTCCTGGGGCCTAATTAGGTTGTCTTAGGAGAACAACTGCTTTACCCTGACTTTTGTTTATTTCTGCTGTTCTACCTTCCCTCTGAGGCAATGTTCTTTTTCTGTGGAGGAAATTTGGAGAGCCAAAAGTTTTCTGATCTACTCTGCCATCTTCCCCTACTAAATGCTCATTGGCTAACTATAGGAGGCTTTCCCCAGTCTCTGCTCCAGCCTCCCACTCCCCTCTGAGATTATCTTCCATTCATGTATGTGTTTTGTTGTACTTAGTAATTTGCACGTGCTTCCCTTCCCCTTCCCCCATTAGAATGTGAGTTCCTATTGGTCAAGGATGGAGGTTTTTGACTTTCTTTGTCTCTCCAGCACTTACTTAGCATAGTACCTGACTAACATCAAATACTTATTGACTTGAGGTCTTATAGGTTATAAGAATAGAGCCCAGGTCTCATGACCTTCTAGCTAAGGGCTTTTTTTGTGAGACCACATATGTCTTAGTTCTATCCCCCTTTTAAGGATAGTTTGATGTTTTAGGGCACTCTTCCCACAGGAACACTCAGTGGGCTTTAGGGGATAGTGATTTTAAGGAAAGAGGAAACAATACCTGCATGCATATTGTTTTCTCCCAGTAGAATGTAACCTCCATGAGGGCAGGGCTGTTTTCATTTCTGCCTTTAAATTCCCCATATCTTGCAGTTACTGGCACATGGTGGGCACTTAACTTGTTGAACTGAGTTGAGAGTTGAGTTGGGAGCACTGACAGTCATCCCTGACTAGTGAAGCCACATCAAGAAAGGAGGAAGCTGGGGATTGTGGTCAGTTTTCAGACCTTGAGCTCCAACATTTTCCCCTCCCTTTAGTCTGGGCTCAAAGTCAAACCTACTTTTTCTTGAAGTGAAAAAGCCAAGGGTATGAACTCTCTGTAAACCATGGGACAGCAAGGCTGCTGGTCTTTGTTTCAAGGGTATGGAGAAAAAATTAGAGGTCAAAGCCAGGGCAGGGAGAACTCTCTTCCTGGGAGTGTTCTCTGTAGTAAAAATCAGCACCACCTCAGTGCTTATAGGCTCGTGTAGCCAGGTAACCAAAATCTGCCCCAGAGTTGGGGAGAGGAAAAGATTTTAGCCTCAAACTACTGCCTCCTTTACCCTCATAAAGCAACTCCCTCCCATTTTACAGATGGGATGACTGAGGCTGCACACAGCTAGGAAGCAACAAAACTAGGTCTCCTGACTCCTCTTCCAGCATTCTGTCTGCAAGAGGTGTCACTTTATCTGAGGCCCAGACTGTGGCGTAAGTTATCGATGCCCTGGCAGCAATACCCACCTAGATGTGTCCTTCACAGCACAAGGCAGAGAACATGTTGTGACACCGTTGGGGATTTCCAGGAACCTCTGCTCAACTTGGAATAGTCATTGTCCCTTGAGATAGTCACATAAAAAAGGAATTCAAGATTAGGGGAATTTGGGCACCCACTCAGATGCCAGCCACCTAGTGGCATTGAAATGACCCCAAGTTCTCAAAGGATATGTCAGCAAAGTACAGGTCCTTGCAGAGTCTAACAGATTGGAAAGGACTAAAACTGAGACTTTGTCTGCTGTCCAAAGACCAGCTTGCTAAGGGCAGAGAGGCTCACCACTTTTAAGCACCACCAGGGGATGAATTCTTTTGCCAGAATGAAAGACAACAATAATACCAACTGGCGTTTATATGGTGCTTTAAGGTTTGCGAAGCCCTTTGTAAATATGATCTTATTTTATCTTCACAACAACTCTAGGAGCTCGGTGATATTATCATTCTCATTTTACAGATGAGAGGCAGACAGCAGTGAAATGACTTGCCCAAGGTCATACAGCTAGATTTTAACTTGTGTGTTCCTGACTCCAGATCCAGGGCTCTCTTCGTGATGGCGCCCTTCACTGCCCTTGAGACAGGTAGTGTTGGGTAGCAGACAGGAGGCTGGCGGGGGCCAGGAAGACTTCCATGCAAGTCCACATATGCTGGCTGTGTGAACGAGGGAAGCCACTTAACTTTTCGGCATCCCAGGCAGTTCTCTCATTCAGCTATCTGCCTCAGTGGAGGAAATTTCCACTCCAGGAGTTCTCCCCCAGTGATGAAATCACAGATCTGTACCAAAAAGAACCAAAAGGGACCTATGAGAAAACACAAAGGAGAAGCCTGTAACCAAGGGGAAATTGTAGGATGAAGGAAGAGCAAGGCAGGAGCAGTAGTCAAAAGGCAAAAATGGGGATTTTCTAATCTGTGTGATCTCAGGAAGCTCACTTAACCTCTCTGGGCTTCCCTTTCCTTATCTGTAAAATGAGGGCCTTAGACCTCTGAAATCCCCTTTCAGCTCCAAATTTATGCCCCTATAAACTGGATGCTCCTAATCAGGCTTTTCTGAGGCCATTCTGAAATTTGGATATGAGGGAGGGAAGGAACTATCTTGGGTTGAAGTGGGAAAAGTACTTAAATGACTGGTTCTGTGAGAAGCTAAAAATGAAATGTATCTTTTAGATTTTAAAAAAATGGACATCCTTATTTTTTTCTTAGCAACCATCAACATATGCAAATATTAAAAATTCAAGAATTTTTAAAGTGAATTCAAACAAGCATCTATGACATTCAAGGTCCTCTGCTCCCCAGTGAGGATCCAGGTACAAAATCAACAGTGTCTGGCTCCTGAAGGAGCTTAGATTCTACTGTAAACAACCGTACCTAAACTGAAAAGCTTCCATTATTTATACTTTTTAAAGAAAAGATTGTAGAAAGTTAATATTTTTAATAAGGTACTTACCAAAATGTCCCATTTGCCCCTTCACCTCTCTGAACACTTTTGGTGCCTGTGGCTTTTTATGGATTTTGCTGCTGTCATTATTTACACAGTTGTATATAGCTTTCTGATTCTGTCAACTTCGAAAGGTCCTCATTTCTTTAGAATCTTTGTATTTGTCAAAGAATAATGATTTAACTCCAACCATTTAAAAATTTTGTTTTTTATAACAAAGCACCCATGGGGAATGAAGGAGAATATCATAATGAAGTGTGTGGTTTTTTTTAATTTCTTAGAGGAAGATGTGAAATAAAGCTGTCTTTGCAGAGGATTTTTTTCTTCTTTCCTTCAGAGTCCAGATCCTTGACTTGGTCCATTCAGAGTGTCCCTCTTAACTGAAGCTACTCTTAGGTATACCTTTCCTGATGCACTGATCCCACACAGCCCTTCTGTGTTGGCCAGTTGCCCAAGGAGAGGAGCAACAGGAAATTGGCAATGCAAAAGTCTTGATGCAAGTGGGGCTCTGTGGCACAGAGAAGGGCCAGGTGTCCACACTCTACCCTGAGCAGCCTGGATCTTGTCTCTCTCTCCTCACAGGTTCGGCCAGTTGAGTGGCATGGTGGAGCCAGTGGCTGGGATCTTTGGTGCTTTCTCTGTGGTCCTAGCTGAGCCCATCCTTCCTTATGCTTTGGCCTTTGCAGCTGGTGCCATGGTCTATGTAGTCGTTGATGACATCATTCCTGAAGCCCAGACCAGGTTTGGAAACTACCTTGTCCTCCACTCATTTCTTCTGAATCTTCTTACTTCTATTCCAGTTCTCTTTCTTCTCTACCCTGTCATGCTGCTGTACTAGCTTCAATCTTATGTGTGTTCTTGGGGCCACTTGGGATATAAAAGAAAATGGAAAAGGCCAAGGGGCTGCTATTGGCCATACAGATAAGCACAGGCCTAGGGCTTAGGAAAAATCAGGCTGTGAACCTAATGAGAGGCAGAAGTGTGAGACAAAGAGAAATGGAATACACTGTCTTTTACTTAGTCATTTTCTGTTGGCAAGTCACGGGAGAATTGGGCATGGGGACAAAGTAAAAGGAGCCAGAGCAGAAAAGGGGGTGAAATTAACTTGAAGAAGAGCATTTAGAAATAAGAAAAAGGCCAGTGGTGGTTTGAGGGATTTGGGGGAAAGGGGAGAGGTTGGATGGCTGCAAAGAGTACACCAGTCCAGACTACTTCATGCCTTTGGGAAGGAATTGCTCTGTTGGAGTGGTGGGAGGGGGGGAAAGGAAAGATTGCTTTTCCGATTCAAAACTTTCTCAAAATTGATCCTTTCCCTTCCCAGTGGTAATGGGAAACTAGCATCCTGGACCTCCATCCTGGGATTTGTGGTGATGATGTCACTGGATGTTGGCTTGGGCTAATGCCAAGGAATCTTCAGCTTTAAACATGACAGAACAAGGAAGGAGGTGGCAGTTGACTTCAGTGGAACCAGGAACATAATTCTCCAGAAGTGGATTTTTATTTTTACTTTTTTAATTTGGGTTTTAAATCTTGTTCTCCTTCCCTTCTCTGATTCATCTTAGCATCCCATATAGCCAGTCATTAATCTGATTGCTTCTTAATTACAACATGATTCTTGTTATTTTTATTTTGAGGGGAATGTTGATGTTGTTGGAATTGTAAGATGGCTTGGAATTCTGGATTTTTGTTCAGCTACTAAGCAGATTCTTCGCTCAGTGGGGTTGGCGGTGAGTGACATATCAGAAAGGCTACCATCAGGAGATCGGTCTTGTGTAAGATTTCTCTTTGCCTAAGGTTCTGCTCACATTTGTTGGACATGATCTCATCCCTATCCCCTCGGACTTGTACCTCTAGCGTGGATGGGACTCCCGAAGGTAACCTCAGAAATGGGATACCCTGTGAACCAAGAGGTGAGCTTCTGAGCACCCTACCCCCTCCCATACACACACACATACTAAGGACTCAAAAGAGGGATGCCAGGTAGCCTTTTGTCTCTTCCTTCTACATCTTCACCGTCTTTGATCCTGGGGCCTTGAAGAGCTTTTATGCCACCTACCAATACTGAATTCAACCAGGAGCAGAACTGGAATGTCACTTAGACAACATGGCCTACTTGCTAAGGCCAAAACAAGAAGTTTTCTACCTTGGTACATACCCTTCCCCACCTTTTCTAAGGGAGGTGGGATCAGGGAGAGGGATAAAGCCAAGGGAAAATAGACTGGGTATTCTGTTTTTTTAAAAAGCAAGAGGAGCTATTGAAGTTAAAGAAAACAGATCAAACTGTAATCATTTGGGGTCTGCAATGGAAAGGGCAGTACAGTAGCTTGCCTGGTTTTCAACTTCTGCAGTACCTGTTAGTCTAATCAAAGAGAGTTGTGGTCTCAATAGCTTATTTATCTATCCATGCTGTTTGCCGATTCCCTGAGCCATCCCCACATAACCCCCAATTTTCGAAGCTTACTTAGACCATTTCCATTAATGAGGACAAGGAGACACTGGAAACCTATTATAACACAAATTCTTTATTTGACCAATATAAGGGGGCCTCTGGAGCCAGCTATGGAAGACCTTTTGGAATTTTGTCCTGTACTTCCTCCCCAGTTCCTTCCACGCACACATATTAGATCAGCCCCAGGAGGTAATTTTGTACCCTGACCCTACAGCCACTACACTGAATAAGCCAGCTTTGATGAGGGTTGTTACAGAAGGAAGAGTTTTGGGGTTTTTTGTTTTGTTTTCAAGTTTCCAAAAACACAATTAGACAGACTGTGCTCTTGAAATATCTCCAACCTGCAGAATGACTTGTTATAACAGGTCAGAAACCAGTCTTGTCCGTCACAGGTAAAGGTTTTCAGACAAAGAGTGATGGGGCTTGTCTGATTCACCCACAGCCAGAGGGTGGTAAGGTGAAGAAGGTTTGAGAAATGACCCAGACTACTCTCTCAAGGACCTGTGGTTGTCTTTAGCCAAAGGAATGGGTTCCATAGATGACTTTGGATAGGCTCAGCTGAGATTCAGATCATCAGCTGGGTGCCCGGGCATCATATTGGCAGCTCCCACTTTGTAAGTTTACATGTGTAATGTTGACAGTTTCTGAATGTTCTCTCCACACCCCCACCACCGCCAACCTCACACCATGCCCCTTGACCCCCAAACCCAAGAAGACTGCCTTGCTTTGTAAAAATGCAAGACTTCTGAGGCTGGCCCTCAACCTGGGCCCATTTCTGTGCTCCCAAACTGAAGGCCTGTTGGAGAGGGGAAGGGGGTGTTGGGTCAAGATTAATTTGTTTGGTGGATGGTGTTTTGTTTTTGTTTTTGTTTTGTTTTTTACTTTGTGTATAGTTCTGCAAAATGCTGTTTCCAATGGACATGACCTTGTAACTGTGATTAATTTCAATAAAGGGGGTATTAAGAGTTGGAACAGATGGTCCCTGTCACATATTCAGCCCTTCTTTCTATGACTTTTCTTTTGTCTTTTAATTAACTTCGAGAATATGGGACAAGCAAGTTAGAAGGAGCTCAGGTCGACTTGGGAAGACAGAAAATGCACATAAATGAAATATGAGAACATACATATAATACAAAACAGCATTTTGATAAGGCTCTGCCATTTATTACCTGTGTGGCCTTAGACAAGTTATTTCCCTTTCCTGGGCCTCAGTCTCCTCATCTGTAAAATGAACCAAATGACCTCTAAGGTCCCTTCCAGCAGTAAAATATAAGAACAGAAGGTATAAAGCCGCATATGGACTAATTAAACATGTAAGGGATACAGGCAGAGCAACCAGAATTGGGTGAGGTCCATCAGGGAAAACTCCATGAAGGAAGTAAATTTCAAGCCAGATCCTGGAAGAGACCCTTATTTGGAAGGCTTCAGGCAGACAGAATGATTCCTTGTTGATTATGTTGTAGTCAGGATTCCTTTCAGATAGGTGTTGAATCTGATGGCCGATGAAGGCCCTCCCAACTTTAAAATCTGTGAGATAGGAGGAGTATAAAGGATGAGGCAAAGGGCGTCTTAAAGTCTCAATCCCTGATGTCTGGAAGAGTAAGCTCTCAGGGGCAGCTAGGTAGTGCAGTGGATAGAGCACCAGCCCTGAAGTCAGGAGGACCTGAGTTCAAATGTGGCCTCAGACCAAACACTTGACACACTTACTAGCTGTGTGACCTTGGGCAAGTCACTTAACCCCAATTGCCTGAAAAAAAAAAGTAAGCTCCCAAAGGGTAAGACTCATGACATGCTGGACAAAACACTGCATCTAGTAGGCACCATAGAAAATTATTATTGGTGGTGGATGACACCAAGAGCCCTGCTCACAAAATCATAAGACCAGTTCTTCATTTTTCCGTCCCTCCCCCCAATACCCACACACACACACAGAGTCACACATTGTCAGTCAGCTGCTTCTAGGATCTTCCCTTGATGCTGTTACTGGATCCAGCTTAATTTATTCTCTGAATAGTCCCAGTATCCTCCAGTACTGTACAAACTCAGAAAAAAGAACTAAACATGGTCCCCTTCATTTCTGACCCTTCCACCCTCAAGGACTGAGACAGCTTCCTAACCAATCCATCCAAGGTCTGGTGGCACAGCTGAAAAACCAACACTAGGACAGTCACGGAAGCCAAATTTCTTATCTCTGTGTCTCTCCCCGCACCCCTTTGCCCTGAGGGAGTGGAGATTGTGAGAGTGATGGACGGCTCTGTTGTGCCACTGAGCCACAAGATGCTCCTGGGTACTAAGCCAAACTTGAAGTCTGGATGTAGCCCAATAGAACAGAATGGTGTGGTGGAAAGAAAACTGTCAAAGGACATGAGGTAAATCCCCATTCTGCTACTTCTAACCTGTGGACAAATCACTGAACCTCCTTGAATCTGTTTCCTCATATGTAAAATGAAGAAATTGGACCAGATGACCTCTCTAAAGTTTCTCCCAACTTAAAATCTGTGAACCTAGGGGGCGGGAAGGGTAGAGGAAGCAGACATTACCACACTAAATGACCTTGGCTGATCATCAGAGGGTTCTCCATACGTGCTTCACAAATGTTTGTTGGATTTAATTATATTTTTTTTTTGCTGTGCTTATCGTTTACTGACTTGTTCAAAGCTTTTGATTCCAAAAACCCAAAATAGATTTAAAATTTTTTTCTCAATTATATGTCAACAAAAATTTTGAACATTCATTTTTTAGAACTTTGAGCTCCAAATTCTCTCCTTCCTTCTCTCCTCTCTCCTTCCCCCTGAGAAAGGCAAGCAATTTGACACAGATTATACTTGTGCAGTCATGTAAGACATTTGTTGGATTTAATTTAAACCAACAGACAGGCAGTCACTTTGAGTTGTTTCAGGTAATAGGAAGAGAATAAGCATTTCTTAAGATCCTACTGTGTGCCTGGCACTGTGGTAAGTGCTTTACAAATATCATCTCATTCAGTCTTCATAACAATCCCTTGAGGTAGGTGTTATTATTATCCCCATTTTACAGCTGAGGAAACGGAGGCAGGCAGAAGTTAAGTGACTTGTCCTGGGTCACACAGCTAAGTGTCTTGGGCTGGATTTGAACTCAGGTCTTTCTCATTCCAAGCCCAGCACTCTATCCCCTGGGACACCTAGGGCACGAATTGGGGGAGGGGATGGGGGTTTTAAATTTCTTTTAGGAAGGCATAAGGAATTCCAGATTGTATAAACAGGTAGTTAGAACAAGAAAGGCCTGAGTCCAAGTTCCAGCTGCTGCTATGCTGTGAATTCAAAGGAGCATCTTAATCAGTTTCTCCAAACCACAAATTTTCCTCCTTGGAAAACAAATTCTTTTTGGGATCAGTGGATAATCTTGACAAGATAGCCAGCAAAGCTGAGAGGGTCCCAGAGTTCTGTTTTCGCTTTTTTTTTTTTTTTTGGTCCTTTTTTCAAGATAAGCTCACCCAGGACGCATTCAGTAAACCATTACCAATTGGACTGAATTGAACCAAACTCAGTGACCCTCGTCTTATTACTGTAATGCCTTGTTCTAACAGACTTAGACAGTAAATGAATACTCTGCTGACAATTGTGACCTCACCCCCTACTTGACTGGGAAAATTGACGTCTTCAGGCCAGACTCCTTAATCTTCCTTTGCATCAGCAGTGCATTCAATCTCTTCACCTTTTCTCTCCTCTCCTGTCTCAGCTTATTCAACAGCTTATTTACTTCCCTCTGGAAGACTTCTTTTGGTTTATTTTTGCTTTTTGGTGAGGCAATCAGGGTTAAGTGACTTGCTCAGGGTCATGCTAGACTTCTAAAGGGTGTCCCTAGGTCTAGTCCCTCTTCTCCCTGCTCTAATCCATTTGGCACACCACTAGCAGATTAATCTTAGGGAAAAAACATCTTGTCGCTGCTCAAAAACATTCAGTGGCTCCCCACTGCCAAACAATCTTAGCCTGGCATTTGAGGTCACCTTTGGCTCCTACCTACCTTCCCACCTTCTGCTCCCACCCACATCCTGTACTTTAGGCAGACTGATCAGAACTTGCCAACTTCTGAAAATACTTGTCACTGGGCTGCCTCAGTTTCTGTGCATGTTGTTCCTTTCATCCAGAATCCCCTTGCCCAGATTTTCTGCCTATGAAAAAATGACCCATTGTTCAGAGACCAACTTATATGCAGTTCTCAATGCGTCCCCCCCAGAAGTGATTCCATACTCTGAATTCAGAGTCCTGATTTTTTTATACCCCAGATATGGTACTTGTTACATAATTGCCTGACATTGTCATCATTTTTCTAAGTGTTTTAACTCACCTAGTAGATTTTTTTTTCCTTCTTTATCTTCCTGGGCCTTCTTTGCACCCCGCTGGTACCTTGCACTCTGTAGCTGTTTAATAAATTGTTGAAAGAACCTTGGAATATGAGAGTGAGAATTTTGGCTTTGTCTCAGCAGTTTGGGAACACTTTGGCTAAGAGTCCTAAATCTCTAGTCCACAGTATTTGCCTCCAAGTTTTCTAGAAGGCTACTGTGTTAACCTAAATTCCTGTTTTGAAAGAGTGATCCAGAAAACTGATTATCTAAAGGTAACTTCAGGTCACATGTTTACATAATAGAGGTAGAGCCTCTCCTGAACTCTGCTATATATGTGTGTGTGTGTGTGTGTGTGTGTGTATTTGTATATACACATACAACATACAAATACACATTTGTATGGTTATGTATTTCATATGTATATAATAGATAATAATTTATATATTTTTTTCTAGGTGTGAGGAACACAGGTGAATGGACTGGCCAGCCAGTGTTTTGCCAAATTTTGCTTTTTATTCTAATTTAATCAATAATATATGCTCTTTAAATTAGAGTAAGCATGGAAATATGCTTAGATCATAGAGAAAATGTAGATTTAGAGATGGAAAGAACCTTAGTCCATCTAGTCAAACCTCCTCCCATTTTATAGAAAAGAAAGCTGAGGGCAGAGGGGTGAGTGACTTGCCAAGTTCACCCAGGGAATAAATAAGTGGCAAAGCTAGGATTTAAACCCAGGCCCTTTGACTCTAAATTCAATCCTCAACTGTGCCACAAAACCTTCTTATCTGAGTCCTGAGCTATAGAAACATATATACATATTTAAATATACATATATTGTTGTAGGCATACATATATGCATATATTAGATACAACATACATAGAGAATTCAGTCATGTGTGCACTGTACTGTCCATGGAGTTTTCTTAGCAAAGATACTGGAGTAATTTGCCATTTCCTTCTCCAGCTCATTTTACAATGGAGGAAACTGAGGCAAATAAAGGTTAAGTGACTTGCCCAGGGTCACACAGCTAGTGAGTATCTAAGACCAAATTTGAACTCAAGTCCTTCCTAACTCCAGACCCAGTGTTCCAGTGCTATATCTCCTGAGCCCCCCTCTCTCCATTTCTCTATGTCTTGTTTCCTCTCTGTCCATATATGTGTGTGTGTGTGTGTGTGATACACACACACACACACACACACACACACACACATATATATATATACACATACACATGCCTCCTCCAGCCCCCATCCCACTACAGCTCTCCTCCTAATCCAAAAGCAGGAGCTCAGGGCTGAAAGGGCATCCTGTACCCCAAGCCAGGGCCCTCCAGATGGTACATATTGGGTTTTTTAATCCCCATGGGTTTGACCTCCTCCCATAGGGGTCTGTTTTATGGTGTGGGACAAGAATATTGCTGGAATAAGTATCTTTGCCTCCCTTAAAATATATATGTACGCATATATACACATATACATATACATATATTATGTACAATGTTACATATGCATATAAATGACATCTGTATAACACTTTAAAGTTAGCAACATTCTCTAGACACATTATCTCATTTTATCCTCACAACAACTCTTTGAGGTAGCTACTATAGTTACTTCTTCATTTTATAAATGAGGAAACTGAGGTTCAGAGAG